TTTACAGTGTTTTCAGCACTGGGACCATAATGACCCCTCTCTCTCATGTCCATGTCCAACCACAGACACTGATGTCTTTACAGATTGTAGTGAGTGGATATAAATGCAATTTATGCAAAGTCGTTGCCTCGGAGCGAATCGATTGTAACCTGTGAGACGGTTCAGAAACAAGGTCAGTGATGTCAACGCACATGGAGAGTTCTTTTCTGTTCTATATCTGGACGTAATAACTTTAATAACAAAAGTGTTCATTTGTTTTGTTTTGGTTCTTTTTACTTTTTTCTGGGAATTGTCGTCTCTACTACATTCACAGATTAGCACAAAGTCACAATACAATTACAGCTACTATGTTCAACATTTGAAGACTTTTCTTCGTCTGGTCGATTGTGGGCTAGCTACACTGTATTTGTTATATATATTGTGGGCTAGCTACACTGTATTTGTTACTGCTGTAGCTAACGTTAGCTCTGTTGGCTCTATCAGGACTGCTGTGGCTAATGTTAGCTCTGGTGTCTGTTGTTGCTAACACTAGCTCTGTTGTCTGTACATGTTTTGGCTTAATCTTGATTGATTTTACCTTTATGTCTGTGTGTGAAGGTTCTGCTCCGGGTGCCGTTGGTTAATAATGATTTCATTGGAGAACAGCGTGTGCGTCTGTGTTGATGTGTCTGTACAGAAGTAAACCGGCTGCCTATGTGTTATATGGAGGCAGTGCTAAACGTGGCAGAGAGCCATAAATAATACAGTGACCTGTCTCATATCCCGGCACGACGCCGTAGCATCGTTTACTGCTGCTGGTTATCCTGTAAACAAACTGATGTTTCAGCAAACGCCTTGATCAGCCATTTAGTATTTGTACATTTGTTACGAAACTGTGGCGTAAACACATCGACTCACACAAGCTGCTGTGGTTGAGGAGGAAGCAACGTGTGTGAGATCTGGGGTCAAGAGAAAGGGAGTTTGTTCTAAATCCAGCTCTGCTGACGGCAGAGGTTCCCATCAATTTGTAATTTGTATTTGATTAATGTAACAATTCTTTCACCAGCGACATCCCCTGGAGGTCACTGACCTGGTCTTCAAGGGCGTCCTGGGCAAGAACAGCAACACAAACTGCCAGATATAAAGACGTTACTGTTCAAAGTTAAAAGAGTTTAACATTTCATTGAGTTGATTTGACGTTTTGAATCACTAAAAACTGGATTTAGTGAACTAATACTGAGAGGAAAGGATTCTGTGATGGGTTAACGTCCATGCAGGTCCCCCTCCCCCCTCCACCCCCCTCCCTCTCTATGATTTAGCTGTGTGATAATTCCTGACTTGGATTTTCAGGCATTAGCATCTCTACTGTCCTCCCACTTCTCCACCGTTGCACTTTCCTTTCAGCATACAGCTCACACTGCTGCGTTGAATACAGATTAGCATTGCTATCGATCGGACATTGTACGAACATTTCATTTATGCACTTTATTGGCTTGAGGACACAGAGATAGTAACGTGTCCTCTCCAGAAGACAGATGTTGTCCAGTCCTCCTACATCTGTTTTATTACAGCAGGCGGTGTTCAACACCGAGCTCCGCCTCGGCGTCACTTTATAACGTGACTACGATCTGTTATCTCTCCGTGTGTGTGTGTGCGTGTGTGTGTGTGCTCCACTCAGGAAAACAACAGCAGATTCAATTACAATATGTTAATTAGCACTTTGTGTCAAGAGGTCCTGTAATCCAACATAAGGTGACCTCTTGGAAGTGTGGTGGGCGTGACGATTGTTAGACAAGTGTGTGTGGATAGATGATTTATACAAGTCCATAACAATACTTCACACACACACGTTACTATCTTTATTAGTCTTTATAAGAAGAAGAATACTCCAAAAATCGAACAATGTTTGTGTAACGTCAGCCTGAGGTTTTATGATCTGTGTGTCGTAAAACTGACCGTCGTCACCAGTGCCCGTCAGAATCTGCTGTTGGTTGTTTTTCTCAGCTGTGGCCGTGGTGACTTCAGGTTGTCCTCACGGCTGTCCCTGACAGGAGACGTGGGCGGAGCTTTCACCGTCTGTTACCATATAAAGGTAAAGGCACAGAAACTGGCCGTTGAGAACAGGACAGACGAGATACAACGTTGCTAACGTTTTATTTAGACATTAAGGACCCAAATAAATCTCAAAATAGTGCAGGTTCCTCTCATCTTCCAAGGTTTAAATCTCCATGAAAAACATGTCTTCACAAAGTGTCATTTTGACTACGTCGGGGATAACGAGCCGGTCTTTAATTCGCTCCGGTGCGTCTGTGTGTCAGGGCTCTTTAGCTGAGTCTTGTAAAAGTGGAATTAAGACGATGCTGCTGTGAGATTCCACAGTTGTTGAGCACTAATCCAGGTGGTGTTGGGTTAAAATGTGCTGGGCCACTTTATTAGGGCCGTGTAACTCTATTCCTGTTATCGTTGAATCACCAAGGAGATCAGCAACAGATAGGAGGACGTGGACGGCACGGCGTGACGGGCAGACGGAGATAGATCATGTGATAGGAGGAGGATAGACCGCCGCGAAAACTGATTGTTTGCAGACAGCGTGGGGTCGATGTCAGATAAGACTTTGTTAAACTGAGGACACACTTGGAGATGATTTTACCCACAATTCCCATTAAGGTGAAGCCTGGACCGGCAGACGGGACAGTCAGCGTTTTTGGTTGGCACAAAAATCTGTTAATCTGCGACAGGGGACAGACCGCGCCGTCCTCGGGCTCAGTCGTTCTGACATGTTTGAGATTCTTGAGCCTAATTTGGATGCAAGCTAATAGTGTGAACTGATTAGTGGCCAAATGTCTTAACGATAAAGAGAGGTGGGGCGCAGGAATACCATCAAAGGTTACAGGATCAACATAGATTCGACCATCGCAAACAGAGAAGAAGACGCAAGAGTTTGTACGAAGGATTGATGCGTTAGCTAGACTTAAGTTGGTTTGACAAATGTCCAGCTCTGTGTTTCAGCTAGTCTATATAAATATATTTTTAACCCTCCCACCCCCATGTTGATGTCTGCCGCCATCTAGTGGCATCAACAGACATTTCAGTGGACTCGTTGTAACGCATGAAACAGAAGGAGTGACGTCAGTCTTTACCAGACCTTGTACCAGTGTTTGGTGGGCCGGATTAGAGAACCCAGCGGGCCGTATCTGGCCCACAAGCCGTAGTTTGCCCAGGTCTGGTGTAGAGGAACAAGGATGACGTCTGTTGGTGTGGACTCCAGGTCTGTCCCAGTCTGTGTGGGCTGTAAAAGTGTTTAGATGTTTTATTTATTTTTATTTTCCTGGTTTGAATCTTTCACTGTCAAATTTAATGTGATTTAAAACGTCGTTTGATTTTTTTTTTTTTTTTTATTCCTTGGCTTCATATTAATGTTACAGTTACATCTGGTTAAGAGTTTAAACCGAGTGTGTGTGTGTGCGTGTGTGTGTGTACAGTGACTCTTCTCCAAGTATAACTTTACAGTAGCTCCTCTATTAATAGCATTAAAACATGTATTCTGCTGAGTAGTTGGACTTGGCCGTGTCACAGCGCAGCACGGTGGCAGTAAATAATGATTACAGGCTGTTTTTGTTTTTTTTGTTTTTTTTAAATCAGGTTGGTTTCTTAGCTGATTCAGGATGTTGGTTTGGTCTGGAGTGAAACAGCAATACAGACCTGGGAGGATTGATCGTCAGAGGAGAAACGCTGTGACGTGACGTGTTTTAACTACGATGTAAATGAACAGTACAGTCTGTTGTCTGTTTGCAAAAAGTGTTTTTAGTGTAAAAACCAAAGTGTGGCTCGCGGTACAGTTGTTGTCCATGTAAATACGAACACAGAGTCAGACTGATGTTTCTTCATGATGATGGAGGTTAACTCAGCAGAAGTGAAACACTTTACAACTTCCTGTGAGACACGTCTATGTCACAGTTATGTTTCTGGGTCTTTATCAACGAAGACGTTCAGCCCACGACGTAGACTGCCACAGTCAGTCAATCTGGACAGTTAGCAAAATGCACAATAGTACCATAGATGGTATACAGTAGAGTTACCCATCTATGTCAGGCTGCCTCTGCAGCCGTCAATGACGGCCATTGTTCATGACACGACACAAACGTATGAGCGCTGACAAGTGGATCAGCTCTCAGAGACAGTATCCTGGCTCAGTCTGTCTGTGTCTGTGTCTGTGTGTGTGTGTCAGTACTGGTTCAGAATAGCATCTTTGTGCTCCCATGTCGTTGCAGTGACACTGACTCCACATGCTCTGAAAAATCTAAATGCACAGAAACACACACACACACACACACACCGGTCTTTGTCTCCTACATCCTGTCTCTGAAAACACAACTCTTATCTGGTTTTTATCTGTTTTGACTCTAATGCCAAATCTTGCATCATAAACAAATATTGAAAGTATTTTTTTTTCTTTAAGCCTGACTTTATGATTTAAGTTGTTGGTGATAAACAACACACGTCGACCCGGACGGTACCAGACGGAGGCTAACGCTAACGAGACTTATCTGATGAAATACTTCTTTATTTACATGATGTTCTGTTTTGCTCAGCAGTTTTTGTCCTAGAGATAACAGGAACTGTTGAGTTCTAAAAAATTATATTTTTATACTATATATTTGCATTTAACCTATGCAGAGGTTCCGAAAGGGGGGGGCGGGGGCCCCATGGGGGTTCTGTGTTATAGCAGAGGTCGGGGCAGCTACGGGTAAAATACATTTTTAAAGTTTTTATTTGTGGGACAATGGGGAAAAAATGATTTTATTTCCTCCTTTTCAGTGAGAATAAATGTTTGTTTTTTTAAATGCTATATTTGGGGCGGGGCTGCAGGGGGCAGTTTAAATGCCATATTTGGGGCGGGGCTGCAGGGGGCAGTAGAACTGTCTACAAAAGGCTGTTGTTGCAGAAAAAGACTTTGTGAACCGCCGACCTAACGGATGATTTCAGTTTCTAATCCTCTCCCACTTTTTCCCATCCCGCAGCGTCGGAACCGTGCGGCGGTTTTCTTGATGCCAGCGACGCTGGGTACATCACCACGCCCGGGTACCCTCTCGAGTACCCGCCTCACCAGAACTGCCGCTGGATCATTACAGCTCCAGAGCCCTTGCAACGCATCGTCCTGAACTTTAACCCGCACTTTGAGATCGAGAAACTGGACTGCAGGTAAGAAGAAAAACATCGACAGTACAAATACAGAGTACAAATACAGAGTACTCCTATCTGCAGAGTACTGTGCTTCTACTGACCTGTCCTGGCAGAAGGGTTGCTGGGTGTATTCCCTGAACCTCCTCCCACTCTCCTCCTGTTCCTCCTGGCTCCTGCCATCCCATAATAATCTCTCTGAGACCTCCCTCGGTCCCCTGTCTCTAATTATAAAGTCTAATTACGCCACATTACTGTTCTGGGACAGAGTGTTTCCACAGATTGGAGGATTTGTTGTCCAGGGTTCTTGTTGTTTTTTCATTTTCTTTTTCTTTTTTTTTTTTTTTTGGCTGTTTGTGTTTTATTGAACGGTGAGAGGAATAAAAAGGACAGTTAATACAGAATAAATAAAACAAACACGGCCACCACAGATAAAAATAAACCATAAAGATGCTAATATATATATTTGGGGGAAATTATAAAAAAAACAAAATGTCAAAAAGTTTCAACAACATAAATCTTCAGCCGAACAGGTTTTTGTTTCACTGCAAATGTTTTAATAGATTTGGGTTCAGGATTTATTTCTGTTTGTTCTTTTCAGATGGTGAAGTTAGTTTAATATAAATGTATTATTATAGTTTTTAGGCCTTTGACATCGTGTTCTTTAAGATAACATTGGATTGGTTGCCAGGTTCTCCTGTTATCAGCATCTGGGCTGCGTTTTCTCTAATTTAGACTAAAAACGTTGATACAGATCAGTCGTGTTTTTTATTAAAGTCGTTTCACTACAGCTGTCCTCGAAAAGAAAACTTTATGGTCAAGAAAAGCACGCCTCTGATTGGCCAGCGTTTGTCAGGGACGCACAGAGTTTTGGAAACATTTTATTGAAAATTCCAATCTATTTGTAAACGTGACTTTTACTGAGTTTTGTGACAGGAAATACTGAAAAGTCTTCTTCAGTCCAAATCTTTTCTTTTTGCTGGATGATGTTTGTAGTTGTTCTTTTTTTTTTTTAACATCATTTCACAATCAGTGAACGACGCGTCTCATTGGTCCATTCAGATGTTCCCATCATTCCATTTGGTTTCTTTGTTGGAATCAGACATCGGTACTGTCGAGTCTCTCTGCAGGACCAACACCAACCTGCCCGTCTCCCCCTCCGTCTCCCCCTCCGTCTCCCCCTCCGTCTCCCCCCGACCTCCTGATTTACGCTGCAGTTAATCCAATCCCTGCCTCAGTTTTATGTTGTGTTCTTTTCCCCCTCCACCCCCGTAGCTGCGGGGGCCGGGGGGGGCTCTGTTAGATTTATTAATTACAGATACGACGTGTGTCTCTGCTGGTGTATTTAGCGCTGACTCGTTCCACTCCTGACAAGTTGTTCAGACCTGAGGTCAGAGGGACGTCTACAGACTAACAGACCACACCGCAGGGCTATTTAGGTCTGCCGCATGTTTGTGGGTGTGGGGGTGAGGGTCCGGGGGAGCGAGGGGGGAGGTCGAGGTATAACTATACTGGAAATGAAGTCACAGATTCAGTTTGGAGCTGGGATTAGAACCAGGTTTAAAGATTATGAGATTATGAGGAAAACAGTTCTAATGGTCGAGGTGAGGACTGAGAGACGTGCTCACGAGTCATGAAAACCAGACTGGGTGTATGGGTGTGTGTGGGAGGGGTCGACTTGAATAGAGTCATGAGGCTGAGTGCAGTCTCAGACATGTAGTATGCAGCCCCAACCCCCCTCCCCCCCCCGTGACACACACATATACTGGTATCACCGTCTTTGTCTCACACGTTTAAAAAACGTGCTTTACTAGCTGTTTTAACTAGCAACGTCCGTCGGGTTAAAAACACTGGAGGTTCGAGTCCAGACGTGCTGATGACGGCAGTGTGTTGAGCAAGAATTAAAATTCCCATTGTTTGCCGGTGCGAACGCCCACTGATGTTTTGATTAGAAGTCATTTACAGCAGCTGTTTTAGAACCACAGAAAACAGAAGTGATTTTCATGGAAAACTTTGGGGCCAAATATGGACGTGGCTAATCCTTAGTCACCGTGACTTCCTGTTCAGCATCACATGACATGAGCAGAGCCGTCCGTCCGTCCGTCCGTCCGTCACTGGTTTTTATTTACTGTGTCCAGTCTTCAGTGTTTTTCACTCGTGTTTATTATATTTATTTATATATTAAAATTATTTCAATGAAAATATTTAATTATTAATATTTAAATTAAAATACCACACAGACAAATTAAAATAATAATAAAAAAACAACTTAATAGAACGTTTTTATTTTTTCTCTGTACTGAATGATCCATGGCCAGAAATTGGTCCCCAGCCCGGTGGTTGGGAACCCGTGATTTAACTCGATCAGTTGTCGGGATCTTTTTTCTTTTTTTTTTTTTTATAAATGATCAGATATAAATGATCAGACACCAAACCTACGTGTTGTCTTATATTTTCATATTTTTTTCATAGTCTTTCAGGCCGATCCTGCTCGTCGTCTTTTTTCTTTTTCTCTGCTCTGTCTCTGAGCACGACATCTTTATTTGGATTGGTCTGAAGAGAGAACACACACACACACACACACAAACCTACGACCGTTTTGGGAAAAGTGCAGCGTCAGGGTCCGTGGAGGGCAGACTCAAATCATCCTGACAGCTTCCCCCCCCCTCCTCCCCTCCTCCTCCCTCTATTCTCTCCTCCTGGCTCTAAGCCTCTCCTCACCCTCTCCCCTCTCCTCTCCCCTCTTCCTCCCCATCCTCACCTCTCCTCTTCCCTGGCCATTACACAGCGCAGCCATCTATCATCTTTCATCTGTTCTACTGCTCTCCCCCGTCCCGTCTCCTCTTCCTCGCTCCTCTTCCTCACCTCCTTGTTCGTCACCTCGTCCCCTCCTCGTTCCACTCACATGTAACTTCTCTCCTCCCTTTCTCTCTCTCTCTCTCCCTCTGTCTTCCTCTGAGCGTTGTATATGAAGACTCACCAGCCGACCCCACCCTCCTCACCCTCCTCACCCTCCTCACCCTGTGTAAACTGCACCTATTCTTCTTTCTTAGCCCCTCATAGAAGTCCCCTCCATCTTTTGAATTCCTGTTTTATTCATTTATATAAATTGATATTTTTTCTTCACCCCCTCCCCTACCTTTCCCCCGTCCCCTCTCAATGCACAGCCCAGTCAGATGCTTTCTGTTATAGTAATATGAGAAACACGCGCGCAGACAAGTGCACACCCACATTCAGGCTAAGGTTGGAACCTCAGCAGCAGCAGCAGCAGCAGCAGTAGAAATGCACACTCAGAGGTGCAAAGTATTTTTGAGCCCTAAAATAAACTGGTAGAAAATGAGTGAGCTGTTACTGCTGCTGCTGCTGCTGCTGTTGCTGCTGCTGCTGTTGGTGCCTGGTGCTTTTTTTGGTGTGGTCGCTGTCTGTGTCTGCTGCTGCTGCTGCTGCTGCTGCACTGGAGCAGAGCAGTGAGTTAACAAGTGATTTATATGACAGAGAATCTGCAGTGGACCAGGAGAGCTTCAATGATGATTTAGACCTCCTCTTTGTACCTGCTCCTCAGTCAATCATACAACTGTTCTCCCGTCCTCTCCCGTCCCCTGTCCTCCCCTCCACTCCCCTCTCCTCCCCTCTGCGTCCTGGTGAAAGTTGAGCTCCGGGGTGACCACACCTGACTAACAGGTGACAGCTGACAGTGATGTGATGTGACTCAGGCCTCGGGGCAGAAAGCAGAATAAGAGCTCAGGGTAGAGATGAAGAGACGTCATGACGGAGGAGGGAACAGCAGGTGAAGTGACAAAGGATGTTCACTTAGCAGCAGCCTGGAGGTTGGAGTTGGTATCACAGCGACTCCAGCTGCAAACATGTCCTTTTGTCCTTTGGCCATGAGAACTAACAAGTCATTAACCAGCACTAACTAACTAACTATCTGTCTGTCATTCATCTGATCTCTGTTACTGTTTTATGGACTACACCAATTGTTGTTTTGTGAATTCTTCACATAGAAATGCCTGGTACTAACTGTAGTACACAGAAATTTTTTTTTTTATTTTCTCTTTTTATATTTCCTCTCCTGATCCCGTATCAATCTCCT